AGTTAGGTAATTTGGAGGTGCCTAGGGGCAAAAGACCAAGTTAGGCATTTCACATAGAATTGGATAGATATTCATTCTAAATGAACCATGGATCAATGAAATCCTCATTTTGGGTCCTTATGTATTGGTTTTAGCTAGAATATTGTGAGGATATTGTGTATCCTAACTCCAAACCAACACCCAGGGTCAATCCTAAGGCCAAGTAATCCTATAGGAACTCCTCTTGAATCTTCTCACAATGATCTTACCTATTAAATGCTAGAAGTTAAGATCAATATGTGAAACTTCAAGTTGAGTAAAGAGAAAGGCTTTGAATTTCTAATGGTGGGGTACCTCTTCTAATTTTCTAAGACTAGTCAATAGGAAAGTCCTATGGCTAGACCTAGGCTACTAAAGAAATTTTCTAGACATCAACCAAAAGTGAGATCAACAATGCTTAAGCTCAAATCCAACCCATGGAGGATTACTATTGGGTTACCTACAACCCAACAAGACCCTTCATGACACAAATAACCCACTAGAAACCCATTATGAACACCAAGCCACTATTTTTGACCAAGGTCAAAAAACCATCATGAGGGGGAGGTTATGTGTCATTCCATCTAAAGTCCATCTCATGCACTTTAAGCTTAGTCTAATCCAAATCCTTAAGTTTAATTCCTAATTAGACCTAAGGTAAACCTAGGCCTTAACCAAAATTGGGCTTAGTCACACCCCTAAACCATTAGGAAATCCTTATAACTTCTTTTGTTTTCTATTTTTATTTGCCCTTTCCCTTCTCTCCAAGTTTCTTAGTATCTCAAGATCATCTATTTGATCTAAGAGAATAAGTCATTTGGAGAATAGAGCAATAAAATATATAAACAAAGTGGTGACTCCTGTCGACAACGATAATCAACCAACGACATGGTGACGGGAATTGGCGACGACAGAGTCATATAATGCTCTTTTATATATAAAAAAAATATCAGCAACCATTATGTTGGAGTTGCTTTATGGAATTAACTTCCTTAGGATGGAAGATATCAATGTATTTCCAAATCCTATAGTATTGTTTTTATTCTTAAATAATATGAAGAGTCAAAAGACCTCATTCATTTACTAGTGTTAGATAGGTCACAAAAATGTCGTTATACTCTTCAAATGAATGCTTTAAGATTGTAGCATCCATAAAGCAATCATCTTTCATCACTTTTATGTTCATAATTTCACTTGCTTCTACATGTGGCATGCTTATAGATGTAAATGAATCAAGTCACACTAAGTCTTATTGAGCTCATTTACCATAACCATATTCCAGCTCAATTTTGACCTTGATTGATTTTTTTACAATAATATAAACTTGATTTGTTTAAAATTATAGTTATTTGAGCTTGGTTTAGGCTCATCTCATTTGCTAAACAAATGACCTTTACATAGTTTATTAATGAACAACATTATTAAGAAGCTTGTTAATTATCTATAAAAGAATGACTGCCTGGTCTATTATTTTAAAATTGAGAATTTAATTGAATTAACAACTAAATAAAATATCATTTTAATAAGCATAAATAAATAGCATATATTCATAAATAAAAATAATATAATATAAAATAGAACAAAACTCGCACAATGTCATGTATCAAGTATATTTATAATTGAGTCTTAAATATGCATGTTACCAAGTCAAAATTTTTCTTCTTAGCAAGATTATTCGTGAGTTATAAGTAATATTGTTCGTGATTAGTAACAAATTAAAATTCCGAGTTGCTCAAGCTTATTCATTTATAAAATACATTTTTTTATAAAGGTGTTCAAGCTCATTTAATTAATTTATTAATTAATTAATCATGAATGAGATTTAATCAAGTCAAGTCATAAGTAGCTATGTTAAGTTTATTGGTTTATATGCTGCCCTAAGCATGTCCAAAGCTTCACTTGTTCTATATATATATAGTTTGTACAAATGATCATCTATAATTGAAAAAGATGATGAAATATTTGATCTTGCACTATACTCTTTTACATTAAAAATAGCAATGAAATTTTTTTTGAGAGTAGTAGATACATAATATGTGGGATATTTGTTGAATGCATATGAATATGTGTTTCAAGAGAAAAATGTAAGATCCTAAAATGTTAATAGCACAATCTAACAAATTGAATTATTGATTATGTTCTACTAAAGTGGTATATCATATTCAGTTTTAGACTGACTTGACTTTTATAAAATCTCTTCCAGTTTGTGTGAGAGAAAACACGTCTTGGCTCGTGTTCGACTAGTTTGAAATTGCTTGAGTTCGAAATCGGCTCGTGTTCGAATTGGCTTGTGAATGTGTGTTCGTGTTTCAGCTCGATTTAAATATTCGTGTTCAGCTCGAAATTGGCTTCTAAAAATTAATTGGAAAATTAGATGTAGAGCGTTGGATTCGAACCTGGACTAAATCAGTGCAAAAATAGGCGCATAACTACATGAGCTGTTATGATTTAAATTTCGATGTAAATATATATAATATATTATTATATAAATAATTATATGATTTTTTTTTTATTTCTAGCTAAAACGAGTCAAACACGAGCGAACAAAGAGCTGTTCGTGTTCGACTGGTTTATAATTCGAGCTTAAAAAAAATTGTGTTAGGTAAACGAATCAAACACGAGCAGTTCGAAAACAATGAGCTTTTTTGACAGCAGGAGTCTTTGCAAAATCACTTTTTTGCTTTATTTCTAAATAAATTTGTTACATGCATATCCTTTTTTTTTCCCATTTTCATTGTCTTTAGGAGATAATTAATCAGTCAATAACCTACCTATTGTAATAATAAATTTAAATCATGCTCAAACTAAGGTTGAATTATTTTCAAACCCTTATTCAATCCATGCTCAATCACGATTCAAATCATGCTTGAACATATATTGAACATTTCAATCATTTTTTAACCATGTTGTTCAATCATAATGAGAATCATGTTCCAACATAATTTCAATATGATTATGAAATGTGATTTGAATATAGTTCAAACATATTTGAGTAATTTCTTATTGTGATATGAGCAATATTTGATCAATGAATACTCCCAAAAAATATGGTTAGAGTAATATTTAATTTCAATGTGAACAAGGTTTGAATAAAGGTTCAATTTAATTAAGCAAAGTAATGAGTAGTATAATTAAGTTACTTATCTTCTAATTAAATGAGCTTTATCATTTTATAATTATAAAGGAGGGAGTTGCATAAATTACCAACAAAATAACAAGCTTTTAAATGAATTAGCTACTAAGTGCATAACCAACAAAAGAAGTATACAAACATGCTAAATAATTGGACAATTAAACAAATGAGTTTTTATCTTATTTCATGTATTATGAATTAAAAATTAATTAAAGTTAATATAGATAAGTTTTAAATTGAACTTTAATTAAGTTTACTCACAAGCTTTGAATTAAGCAATAATCAATTTTATTCACAAGATTTAATCCAATGTATTGACGATTTTTGTTCATAAACTTTAAATGAAATTATTCATCGAACTTTTTCTGGAGTTTTAAATAATATTGTTCGTGAATATAAATGAACCAAATAAAAGATGTTTAAGTTTGCTCACTTAATGATTGAGAATTTATAATGCTCAGAATTGTTTACTTAATTAATCAAACGAATGTGAATAAACTTCGAGCTCTTATCAAGCTGAACTATGAGCAGCTTATGACATGCATGTTTAGTCTTAGACAACCCTAATCTTAGGGAAACATAATGCCTCCATAATTCGGACGTCCGGACAATGAACATGATATAATGGAGTTTACGTGATACATATACAAAAACAAATAGGTGGCATGTAAATGCTTCACTCTAAATACACCAAAATGAGACGTGTTTGTAAATTTACCAAAATAGAAACAGGAAGTGGGAAAAATATTACATCAGTACTATGCATGTAGAGTAATATGCGTAGCCAATGAAATCACGCCACGACACCCCGCGCGACAGAGAAAAAAAAACGGTGCATCAACACGAGGAATATTCCCCCCTCCCCCCATGTTATTCATGTGTTATTGTGTGTTATTCATGTGTTATTGTGTCTTAGGAATATTCTTAGTGTTATAATAACAAAATAACACATCAATAACACATGAATAACACACAATAACACATGAATAACACATGAAGAATATTCCTCCGTGTTACTGTGCCGTTTTTTCCACTGTCGGGAATTGGAGAATATTCCCCGTGTTACTGTGCCGTTTTTTCCACTGTCGGGAAGTGATTTCATGCGCTATTTCACGTTATTCAGTTGTTATTGTGTGTTATTCATGTGTTATTGTTGTTATTATAACATTAGGAATATTCCCATAACACAATAACACATAAATATTACCAATATATTAATAATACATGAATAACATGGAATAACACATGAATAATACACGATTATTTTTTTTTTTTATGTAATATTTTTTCGATGAACGTTTGCAATTCTAAGCCTAGGGTAAAGGAGAGTGACGAGTGGAACAGGAATCGTAGCACAAATCCAAGAGTGGGGGAGAAGAAATCGCGATTTGATGGCTCCTCTGAAGAAATTGAAGAAGACCAAGAGAAAAGCGAAGGATTTCTCTAAATGCGGAAAACCTTCTGTTCCCAAGCCGCAGGAATCCCAGCAAACGGACAACGACTGGTGGTATAGCTTCTGGCACAAGAACTCCGACTCTGGTAAGCAAAACCACAGCCTATCAATCTGAACTTTGTGTGCTTTCTCCTGATCTTCTGCTTGCTTTGATCTAGTTAGTTGAATTTTGTTACAATCTGCGGTTTCTTCACGTTTTTGGGTACTTCTTTCATAAATTGTCGTTGCACTTTGAGAATTTATTAGCTTGATGTGCTTTCTGGTAAACTAGATTTTCTGTTTCGTGAGATTTTTCAATGTTCGTGACATTCTTTTGATTGGAGGTAATCTGAATTGCGCTGGCGCTCGATGTGATATGGATGATGTTGAGTTCTAAATTATCCATGGACGCACACCACTTAGATTGGAGCACTTAAAGAAGAAAGAGAGAAAAGAACAAGGAGAAGAAAAAAGAGTGTGTGTGAGAGAGACACAGAGGGGAAGAGGGGAAGCTCTGGGATCTTATTGGTCAGAGAAAATAAGTACAGAAAATGTGTGTAGCTCTGGAGTCTTGACCCCATATATTGGTGGTTGATATTAATTACGGTACAAGTTTGACTAAACGAGTAAAAAAAAAAATGCATAAAATTTATAATAATATTTCGTTTCTTGTGATTCTATAGGATGCCATGTAGATGAGTTGCAGACTTGGCTAATGGTTGTGATTCTATAGAATGTCGAACTATGGAATAGGTGAGCATTGTTGGTGGATTAACGAGTGTTGTATGACCATTTAGGTAGACCTGTCCTAAGTCTGACTACGACTCAACCTTGTGGCCATGTAGGCTTCAATTGAACCACTAGGCATTTCATCCTATAGATGATAGTAAGTAATGCCACTCTTTGCTATTTATATGATTCCTATCTTATAGCACAGAGGAAATTTAGCTATAGAATAGTTGTTAGTACAACACACTGAAGATAACTTTGCATTTCTGTCAATATAGCTTGCATTCTTATCAGGCATTCCGAGCATAGCATTCTTCTTTTATAAGAGTTTTAATTTGGATTCTTTAAAGTTGTTGTGAGGGAAACATTTGTATAAATAAGAGATGGTATAGTTACACAATGCATTAATGGACATTGCAAGTTTCTATTTCTGAAGCTTTATAAGTGATGGCATGACATGATATTCAATTAAGAATTTAATCCTTCATGAATACCTTTTTGTTCAATGTAGAAATTTAATTCTCTTTATGTGATTTGTTGAATAGAGACAATGATTTGGATTATTCCACATTATATAGCTAAAACCCTTGGGTCAATTCAGGTTGTGACACGAGTAGTCCAGCACAAATCATTCACATAGCTAGAGTAGTCTTAGCCATTCTCTGCGGGAACGGACTTGAGGCTTCTCACCAATCGAGCATCAAACGACTTTCATCGGGCGAGATAATCTTGGTGAGTTTTCTCGACCACTGATAACGAGCCAACCACTCATCACCTTCATGAACACTAATCTTCCTGCTAAAAAATATTTATAATGATGTTATCATGGTCACGACGTTGATCATGAATTACTAAATTGACGTATCCTTATAGACAGAGGATGTTCAGTGAATATCCTATTTAAGAGTGTTTATAACAAGTAGAACGTGGGATCCTCACACCTTACCCCTATCTCAGGGCCCCTATTTGGCTTCTTTGAAGAAATGAAGGAAATGGTAGGAGTGATTGCTCAATCCATCGCCATGAGGAAAGACAATAAACAGTTGACTATCATTTCCAATTTTGTCGTAATCAATTTTTCAACAACTTACAATGCCATTTTTGGTTGCCCGCAACTAAATATTTTTCAGAGTGGTACTACCAACCTATCATTTTGCAATTAAATTTCTGGGAGGCGGAGATCTCGCCACTATCCGGAGAGTCGTAGAGCAAACACAAACATGCTATCTACAAATTGTAGGTAATGTGTAGGAGGAATCTTGTAACTTGACAGTGACTAATCAGCATGGAGATGAATGAGATCGTCGAAGAATTTGCAACCTTGGAAGAAGAATAAGGAAGAACATTCCAGTTTAGCACAACCTTTGACGCCTGTTGAAGGGAGGAATTGGCTACAATTTTTTGCATACAGAGATGTTTTTGCTTGGTCATCAACAAGATACCACTGGTCCACATTGATGTCCAGTGTCATAGACTTAATGCCAACTAAAGAGTTTGACCAATCAGGCAAATGATATGGCCTGTCGCCATGACACTTGTGAATCCTATTCTCCAAGAAGTGCAAATCTGTTTGACGCAAGTTTCATATGAGAAATCGAGTATCCAAATTGGGTTGCAAACATGTTGATGATGAAGAAGTCTAATGGTAAGTGTTGGATTCGTGTGATTTCAGAAATTCAAAGCTCAAAAGACAATTATCAACCATATCGAATAAATGGGCTAGTCGACTCAGTGGCTAGTTACTCGGTCATGAATTTCCCAAACACATTATCCATATATCACCAAATAAAGATACACCCTATAAATGCTGAGAAGATGATCTTTGTTATGAGGGATGGAGTATAATTCTATCCTTTAGACTTAGGAATGCATATATGACTTGTTAAATGATGATGCATATAATAATTTCTAAGAAAAAAATTAATGTGTATCTTGATGATGTATTAGTTAAAGAGTAATTCTCTGGAATGACATCTAAACGATATAATTGAAATCTTGAAACACTTAGAATGTGTGACATGAAATTGAATCTACTCAAATGCTTATTTTTAGCTCGGTCAAATAAATTTTTCGGCTACCTGCTCACCCTAGAAAACATCAAAGAGAATTTGAAGAAAATGAAGGCTACATTAGACATACCATCATCCAGGATTACCAAAATACTATAGAAGCTAACAGAACAAATTACTAAGTTAAGTTGCTCCATATCCAACTCTATTGAGAAATGTTGAATTTTTTGCTTAGAAAAAAGAAGTGTGAACAAGCTTTCACCCAAGTGAAGAACTTCCGATCGTCTCCACCATTACTACGAAGCCCAAAGCCAAGCGAGAACTTGTTACTCTACCTCGAAGTCGGCCAAGAGGCAACTAGCTCTGAATTCCAAGAGGAGACAAACTTCGTATTTGTTTGAGAAGAAAACATAAGACAATTCCCATTATGTTATGTTAGCAAGAAATTGAGAGACGAGTAACAAAAATATTCGATTGTGGAAAAACTCAACTTAGCCTTGATCATTTATGTCTAAAGGCTCCAACCATACTTTCATGCACATGCGGTTTTAGTCGTAATTGATTATCCCAGTATGACTACTAAAATGGGTGGTTGAATTTAGTGGGTTTGGCATCGCTTACATTCCTTCGACAGTGATTAAAACACAAGCAGTGTCAGATTTTCTGATTAATTTTTTTGAAATTTGTATGGAGCAAGAGGAGGCAACATCAAAATTACTATGAACATTGTTCATGGATAGAGCATCTAGCAATCAAGGACCTGCTACTAGAATTGTGCTTGAGTGTTTGGTTGGGATCTCCTACATTATTCAATACAGATCAAGTTCAAAATTTCTAGTAACCTTGTTGAGTATGAAGTTCTTATCTCAATATGAAGGCTTGCTCAAAGAGTCACTGTCAAACACTTTATTTGTTCACTCCCAATTGATAGTTAATCAGCTGAACGACCAATATGAAACCAGATATGATATAATGTAGAAGTATCTTCTCAAACTAAAAACAGAGATTGACAAATTTAAATTCTGCAAGATCGAATAAATATCTCTCAAAATCAGAATCAACATGTTGATCCATTATCCAAGTGGAGTAAACCCGACAAAAGATGTTCAAAAAATGATTTACCTAACAATTAAAGACCCAAAAGTAATGAAAGTCAAATCAAGGCAGTAACCTAGTTGAGTGGATCCATACATTGAATAACTAAATATTGGAGTACTCTCTTCCAGTGTAAGTGATCCCTAAAGGCTTAAGATTACGTCAACGTAGTACATATTGCTTAATGACGAGTTATTTCGGAGGTCTGCTGCTTCTTTATAACTTTGGTGTGTCAAAGAAGGTGAAATCAATAATATACTTAGCAGTATATTCTTACAATTGTGAAAATCATTTTAGATGAAGAATTTTATCTAATCAGATCCTATAACAAGGTTATTTCTGGCTTACACTGAGAAAATACTCGGAAAATTTCTTCAGAAGTTATGATTGCTGGTAGAAGTTTACTCTCATGTAAATATAACTCTCATAAACTACTTCTATTCATGCATTATTTACTATTCACCATGTGGGATATGGATCTTAATAACTCTTTTCCTCTTACAAAAGGTCAAAGGAAGTTTATCTTTATGGCATTCAATTATTTCTCGAAGTAATTTAAAGTAAAGTCTTTGGCCAAGATCACAACCGAATTCATGCAAATTTCATTTGGATCAACATCATCTATAGGTATGGGTTACTTACGATAATCATCGCTATTAACAACATTCAGTTTTTTGATAAGAAGGTCAAATACTTCTCCGGAGCCAAAAGTTATCTCAAATTTAACTCGCTCCATCATCCAAGGGTGAACGATTAGATAGAAGCGATAAACAAGCTAATCTTCAACTTGTGCTGGAAGTAGATAGCATTGAGTGAAGGTGGGCCAAACCATTTTTATCCGTTCTATAGGCGATCAAGACAAATTCAATGGTGACCGGAGAAACCATTTTTATCTTGTCACATTGCTCAGTAGCAATGTTACCATGGAGTATAACCTATATAGCCAAAGAATAGGAGAAACCCTTTTTATCTTGTCACATTGCTCAGTAGCAATGTTACCATGGAGTATAACCTATATAGCCAAAGAATAGGAGAAACCCTTTTTATCTTGTCACATTGCTCAGTAGCAATGTTACCATGGAGTATAACCTATATAGCCAAAGAATAGTCGTTGTGTATGTCTTTGGGGAGCCTGAACTTGATGAGTGGCAAAATGCCAATGACAAAGGTATGTAAATTATACTTGACCTGTTCTAAGAGTTGCTGATTCAATCCACCATGAAGCTGGAAGAAACCAAAAGGAGAGTCGCGAAATACTACAACTCGCACGCAAG